CGTCAGGAACTCGGAAAGATGCCAGTTTCTTCTTCCTCAACATTCCGAGCCCTTGACATTCATTGCTGCAGATATCCGCCTCCAATCTTCTCTCTGGTTGGCCTCTCCAGCTGGTGACACCACGTGTTTGCAGGTCTGTCTGGCTATTATCTCTACATCGTCGTCGTGGTCTACAACCATTCAGGACCCTTGTGTTTACAGTTTTTACCTCTGTCATCTGACAAGGTGGGAAAGGTGCCAACCATCATCACACATTTGTCCCCCTTAACACGGGCAGGTCTTGCTAGTCCCGCCATGGGCTCAGTCCTATGCCTTCCCATAGCACAATATAACACTATCGTCTGGAAAGATGCCTATCAATGGTGGAAGCTGCATTAAAGAAGTGGATTATGCTGGTTGACAAAGACATCTACATTCAGTGTGGCTGGATCTGCCAGTCTTTACTCACACTTCCTGTATTCTTAGCAGCGTCATGGACGCGCTCCCCTTTCCTCCTTCTTTGAGGAAGTGGTTCTCAGCCTTCCTAATGCCGCGACCCTTTAATACATTTCCTCATGTCACGGTGACTCCAAAGCATAAGATTATTTTCATTTCTATTTCTTAACTTCAGTTAATATGTCTTTTCCGATCGTCTCAGGTGATTCCCGTGAAAAGCTCGTTCGAACCCTAAAGATATCGCGACCCGCAGGTTGAGAATCGCTTCCCTGAGGGCGATAATAATGTTGGCGTTAACCCGCGGCATCTTGCACATAGAATCACCCAGTACACAAATTTGGGAAATCACCCAGTACACACGTGTTGGAAATCACCCAGTACACACATGTGGAAATAGCCCTATTATTTCAGCCACAAAAGCTCGCGTCGCTGTCATCCACGCCTCCTGGTAGCATACAGAGATTATCTGAATTTAATAGGGGCGACTTTTGTCCTTAGAGAAGTCTCTAATACATATTTGGGATGACGGATACACAGGACACTGCAGGCTTAACTCCCACAAGCATAAAATAAAGACTGTACAGTCCACACAGTGTGTCTATCAGACAGAACCACAAACACCTGAGCACATTCATCAGACCTCCCCCTCTACCTACAACTGCGAAAATAAACCTAGCCTCAATAGCAAAGTATGCAGAGCAAGCTATTGGGAACTACGAATGACCTGCAGCTGACATGTGAGTTCATAAAGACAACCTACCTAATGGTCTGACCTGAGCATACGAAAGCAAAGAAGAAGAATACACTGAAGATGAAGAATTACAGCCTTTGGGCAGATTAAATCATTTTGTGGACAGGCCAATGTGATGCATTGTTATTCTTCTGCGTTCTGTCCCGTAATGGAGCATTGTCTCCCGAACTTATGCCATCTGCTACATATACTGTAAAAAAAAGAAACGCATCGTTATCTGATGGCGCGTTATTATTAGTTTGTAAATAAAATATCGAACTCTGGATGTGAAAAGCAGATTCAAATGTTGTTTACCGTGTCCAGTGGACATGTGGGCCTGAATTGCATGGGGTTTTTTGTAATCGTTACAGCGCAGTAGTCAATTGTGTTTAAGACCATATTTGTAAGCATAGCCTTCAATGTACGCATGAGAAAGCAACACAATTTGCGGTGAACGCTATTCACCGCCTACACAATTGAAACCCTATAAAAGGATAACGCTACACCAAAACGATCAGTTCATTTGTTCATTTTCAAGCAGTCACGAATGGCACCTCTATCGATAAATTTAAGGAATTTTGCTATTGACCAGTCACTGATTCACACAAGAGGAGGCCACACACCAGACTAACGGGCAAGACCTACGCTTAAAAACTATCGTGACCCAGATGCAAAAAAAAAAAAAAAGTCAATTGATTGGTGGAGCCCTAAGGTATTCTTGTGTGAAATTAAAGTAATTTCACTTACTGTATTACAAAGATGCAGAATGTCAAAATTGTGAGTATATTTGTTCTTTTCAGTAACTACGCGTTTCTTGTCTTTTTTTTTTTTAACAGTATAGCATAATTGCAAAGACAAAGTCTCAGCCATTTGCGGTCCGACAAAAGCAAGTATCAGTTTTGCCAAAGGACCCTTAACATTAATATTAATATTGCCCCCCTCCATGCATTGCGATCTAAGGCATCTTTATGCCTAAAACATATGGTGCTGTTTCAATTACCCAGAGAAGGCTAATCCGGTTAACAGATGCTTAAAGTCGGATGTGTCGGCAGAACGGCCCAAATATGACAATGTAAATAGACACAACACAATATCTTCACTCGGAAACAAAGAGGAGGATATCAATGCTCACATATAAACTATACCCACATCCCTTGTAATTTTCAACATTTATATTAGGCGCATTTGTTAAGTCTCAACTAGCAAAGTTTCCCTGATTTAAGTTGGCTTCAAGTCAGATTCACTCGCCTTGTTCGTCGATTAAACGATATCTCTTTTACTTATCCTGCTGTTTACCTTCTGCTTCCCTTCCTTCAATTTTTAATTGTAGCAAGCAGTGAAAAGAATATTTTTCAAAAAGTGTGACTGAAATATTCTAGTTCTTGTTCTTCTTCTTCCTTTTCTTCTTCTTTTTCTTCTTCTTCTTCTTCTTCTTCCTTTTCTTCTTCTTCTTCTTCTCCCCCACCCCCCTCTCTCTCATCCTCTCCCCCGTCTACCTCGCTTTATTTTAACAACCTGCTTGTATTCTTGATCTTTTCAGAACTTCTGAATCTGATTTTTTTTTATTTCCATGTCTCATCCGTTTTGTGGTGCCCCAATATAATTGTTATATGGCTACACAGTTAAACCTGCAATCATGGTGGGGGAAAATCTATTTAAAAAAAAAAACGAATTATGAGACTGAAAAATTAGTTTGAATTCAAATCACGTTACTACATCATTACATGTTTCAACTGCTTTATGACAGGACACGGAGAACCGTTAATTTAGAACGCAATGGCAACCCCTACTGAACGTGTATTAATGACTAGGAAAACTAACAGCGAACATTTGCTGCACCTGGTGCGTGACGACCTGTAAAGGATTAAAAAAAAAAAAACTACCTTTTAGTTATATAGGATGAAGAACAAACTATGTAGTAAATCTGTGTCAGCTAAATGGAGAAAGTTATGTCTTATAAGTATATAGCGCCAATTATTACTTACAGTAATGAACAAACAACAGTAGGCAGATTTGTGGCAAATTACAGAGACGTGAAACCTTTTTTTTAAAAAAACAGAAAATGGTCAACAGACCACGAAAAGTTAAATGAGCAATGACAATATTTTGGAAGAAATAAACTAACAAAGAGACATAGTGACGGAAGCTATACAATCCACATTCTCACAGGGTAGTTGTGGGTGGGGGGGGGGGGGGCAAGGAAAAACTCGAGGAGACCACAAGAGACAGTATTAGGCAGTTTGGCCACAGAGGAACGAAGTGTCAGAAATGAACCCACATACAGCAGACAGACAGCTGTAAACAGACAAGATGACCACTCACGGAATATAGATTACACCATAAAGAAATGTCTATTGTATGTGAAAGTTACTGATTATTGATTACCTCCGAGTCATCTTCGTCGCAATGTTTTCGTCCATAATAAAGAGATTGATTGCACTGTAAGGTCATAACTGGTGTGCTGTATTATATACACATATGGGTGTATCCGCGTTTGAGCGTGAGTCGCCTATAGCAGACACCTTGCACCTAGTTCGCCAGGGTGTACTATCCATGTTCTGGACACTGTCAATGTAGGTGTACTTAACGGGAGTGGTAGACTGACAGTGAGGCACTGATCACCAATCAGTTAATCTTCGTCGCAGTGTGTTCGCCCATAATAAAAGAGACTGATCGCACTATAAGAACAAAATTGGTGTGGTATATTATATTACAGTGTTCGTAGACAATGTTAGTGGTTACGATAGGACATGTTACTTGTGCCTGGGTTGTTGTGGTGCTCCCTGTTGGGTTGGCCCTCCTTTCCCCCAGTTTTAATCACCATAGGCGTGTGCCGTGCCAATGAGAGTGGGCGGTCATGGTCAGCTAAGGGAATCTGCGTGTGTGTGTGGAGGACTGGCATTCAAAAATTATCACCTAGATACTTGGCCAGGGTGCGGTGCATCGCCCGCGTCAATGTCACATATTTCCAGCTCCTTCTGCATCTATGAGCGTCGATAAACCCGTGCTTTTTTACTTCCCATAGCTTTGAGATTGCATCTAGGAGTGATAAACGAATATAGCAAGCAAGGACACATTTTTGTAAATACAAATACAATCTACACAATATGTCCAGTTTTTAACCCCGAGGGTTGAATTTGATATTATTTATTCGACTATCAATGCTACATCTTTAAAAGTACACGTGATATTTACGCCTTAACATCGAGGAATGTTGGGTGGGTGGGGGTTGGGGGGGGGGGGGGATAGAGAGAATATTTGGTCAGTTTGGCATCATGTCACTGAGATACATGAAAGTAAGAGACATTTTTGTGTGACAAATTTTGAAGTAAAATGTATTTAACAATAATATATAACACTATTCTGTGTTGATAAACAATACAACTTATGTATTTTGTTTCGGTGCCGCAGCCCTGATTTTGTAACGGTTCGCATGGCGACACAAAGTTGACGTGTATGATTCTGGTTGTGCCAGGTGAAATTGCTGAAATAATTTGAACCCTTACTAACAGGAGTGATGCAAGCCCGCCGAAAAGTATTTAAAACTGGCTCTAATATTTTATCAGCGCTATTTTCCTCACGACACACGCTTTGAACAAACTTAATGTAGCACTTTCGTCTGATGATACTTATCAATTATCATTTATCCTGTTATCTGATATTTCTTGACTTTTCGAGAACGTCAAGTCGTCAGTGTGTTATCGCTGCTGTTTATGTTTAAGGTTTAACTACGTCCTTTATTTTGTTTCAATTTACAGTGAGACGTATGTATGCACACACCCTCCTAGTTATATAAGTAACCACTAATACATGTCGGTATTGAAAGAGAAGCACCATGAGTATAATCTTGAGAAGTATACAAGTTGCCCATATTATGGGCGTTTTTATAATTGCAAGTGTTTTCCTGTATAATCTGAACGTCAGAAGTGAATCTCCGCCGGCGGACACACAGAACGCAGATTCTAAACCTGGGAGTAGCGGAGCCCTGAGTGTAGTTGCTTACAGTGAGGAGGATGGTGATGAAGGTATGAATGGTTAAGTTTTCACTTGAGTTTTATTTCTAAGCAGAGGCGTTAGTAAATCCTCTGTACTCTATATGAAGCAGTATAATTTAGCCACCAATTACAGATCATCATCATCAGGTGCCTTGCCGACTGGCGTGGACGATCATGCCTCTCCATAATCTGCGATCTCCTGCAGTATGTATCAGTTCGTGTGCCGACACACCTCCATGCCATGCAACAAGACTGTCAAGCATCTTCTCTCGTTGTCTTCCTCTGTCTCTCCTTCCACATATCTTTCCAGTGGTCACAACATGTTCTATTTTCCCTCTTCTCATGACATGGCCGAAAAATGATGTCTCCTTCTGATGTCTGTGATAAGTTGTCTTCGGGCTCCCACCTTTTTCAAAACCTCTTGGTTGCTCATTTTGGCTGTCCAAGGTATTCTAAGCATTCTTATGTAAAACCACATCTCCGAGGCCTCCAGAAATTGTTTGGCCTGCCTACCGATTGTCCAGGATTCACAGCCATATGTTAAAACTGGATGTTTGTAGCAAGCAAGAATTCTTTTTCTAACTCTCAATGACAAGGATATATTGCACAAGATGTTTTTCATTTTTTAAAATGCAGTTTTTGCCTGTCCTATTCTTTTTCTTATCTCAGTTATGCATCTTCCATCTGATGTTATCCATGTGCCCAGACTTACCAATTACAGAGGCATTTGTAAATTGTACTCACACAGTACTCTATATGAAGCAGTAATTCAGCCACCAGTTCTTCTTCTTCTCTTCCACCTTGTACCTTATCGAAGGCCACCAGTTACAGAGGCGTTTGTAAATTGTATATGAAGAAGTAATGTAAACACACCATTGTCACCAGTAATTAAAAACTTAAGTTGTAAGGAAAGAAAGTTTAAAACTAGGAACATCACACATATAAGGACCCTTTTATGCCAGTGGCAAATTAGACATTCTGATGCTAGACTTATATATTTATAGATGGTACTTGGTGTATGGAGTTGTCAAAATAATGTCAGTGATCTCTCTGCTTGCCATACTTTTCAGAAATTACCTGGTACCCATTTGTGTATGGTTCGACTTTGGAGCTGTCATTAGATATCACATTGCCCTATGACAATAGAAAAACATTTTTTAAAAAACCTTTATGGCAAATACTTTGCTATTTGATGATATTAATGTTTTGTAGCATGGATCACTCTTGAGACCATGGGTAGCGAGCGTCCTTTTAATCTTATTTCCCCCCAAGGTGTGCTGGTGCAATGGGAAATGAACAAGCTGATAGACTGGCTGGCTCTGGACTCCAGGATGTGAATTGATGCCTGACTAAGTAGATCTGGCTTGCTCCTTTAGGAGCACATTATCACTGCAGAAGAGCAAATAGATCATCAAGGTCTGATCAAATAATGCATTATTGCGTGGCCAGAAAATCTGACTGACAGTGAACGCTCAGAGGAAAGACAAGCAGAGTTTTTTTGTTTCTCGATAGATAGAGGTGCTGGTACTCACCACAGTGTTTATTACAGTAGTGCTGAAACAAAATGCCTTAAAAAGGTGCTGGTACTGAGTACTGTTGCATACTTCCAAAAAAAACAACAACCTGAGAACAAGGATGTAATCAAACCCCCTCGGGCATTGGAATTTTATAGTGGCTATGAAGATGGAGACAGAATGCTTATTGGGAGGCTTCAGGTGCTGTGATGTTGATTTTTACCTAAAATAAGCTCCATCTACATATACCTACATATACACACTACATTGTTACTTGCTGATCATGTCAACATCCTAGCACTTTGGTCTGATCCATTCCATCCTCCAATACAGCTGCCATCCCAGTTTACATTTACACACAATTTAAAATCGGCCAATCAGCCATGTGCACATGTGGATTGGCACCTGAGACAACAGATCATGTCCTCCAAGACCATCCCAAATACAACATATCAAGGCAAAACTTTTGGCCAAGAGGTACACCGGTGCAAGCCAAACTTTACGGGTCCTTGAGTGATTTACAAATGACAGTGAAGTTTATACTAGAGACAACACTGCAGATATTGATAATCTATTTCAAGCAAACGAATGAAGAAAAAGTATACATACACACACAGAGATGGATGTCCGTTTGTCAGTCACATGTGTTTACTTTGATTAGTCAGTAACCTTATCATTTGATGTTAATTCCGCAGAAGATGGCATTATAACCATTGAGGGAAATGGATCTGATGATGATGAAATTGATGAAACTTTGGAATTGTTTGAACCAACAGATGAATGGAAGGCAGTTAAGAAGGGTATTTTTCCACTTTTCCCCTCCTACAGTTTTTAAATACATAACTGCTTCAAATAAAAATAATGATTTTGGAATGATAAAATTTCCTTTGTAACTACTTTGATTGCCTACATCAGTATGGAGGATAGGGAGGTTGACTGTTTTTATTCATGGCAAATATTTGATTCTGAGAATAGGTGGCCAATGCATTTTCCTCCATGTGTATACTGAAAGGATATAGTTTTATTTCCTAGCAACTAGTTTGAGTGTATTATGTATCACTGTGAGCTGTGGATTTCATTTGGAATGCTTTTCAACTGCTCCCATAGTGTATGTTATGAACTGTAAATTCAGAAATTGGCGAGAGGCCTATTTCCACAGACCTGGTGATTACTCGGGTGTAGATTACTCATCTTTTGCTACTGCTGCTTCCAGCAATAATGAATTGCATTTCTTTTGCCAGACTGTTTGTGTTGGCACTTCTGACTACTCCCTTTTAATGAGTGTGTATGCTATTGGATTTGCTGAGTGCAGTCTGTCAGTTTTTCTACAAGGACCGGCGATGGTCATTCTGTGTGTTTTCCTTTGGCTGAGGAACGGAGCGTCGAATGGCTGATCTGTTTGCTATAAAGTTGGAACTACTATTACCTGATACCCAATTACAGACGAGTATTTCAAATATAGCTGCTTTTGGGGAGATTTTCTCTTGTTGTAAGTCTGTAAATCTATCACACAAAAGTGGAAGGTCTCCATGGCCAAGCTGTTAAGCTATTTCCATCTCATCTGAAGCTTATGAGTTTGATGGCCTGCATTATTAGTTTAAGTGCACAGTTTTCACAGAAATGTCTGGGGATCATAGCTGGAGCTATAGAGAGCCTTGAAAAACATTCTCACCAGGTGGCCAGCCATTCACTTCAAAATCACGTCATGATACTATGTGAATATGAATCCAAGTCCTTCAGGCAGGTAGGCAAGCCTTTTGCCAGTAGGCTACCAAAGTTCCTTTTATCCATAATGAAAATAAAAGATCAGTCTTATGTCACTGGCTTGTCAGATATAGATTGCTGGACTCATATGAGTTAAAATTTGTGAGTTAAGAACCGACATCATAGTATTTGGACATTGACATAAGCGCTCCATCCTCATCTTTAACAGCAAGTGCAGAGTTCCAAGCCTTACCAAGCCTACCTGCCTGAAGGACTTTGAAATCGAAGTGCATCTGCCTGAGAGACAAGGAACCAAAGGTTTGCATATAAATAAGGCAGATCTGCAAGACAGATGTGTATGCAACACTCAGGTTCTGGAACAAGTCTAAAGGCCAGAGGTAAATGAACAACCAAAATCTTTCTGCAGGAGTTAACAGGCAGTGAACAAGAAGAAGCAGAAATGCCTGACATAATTAATAAACTAGCGGATGACTTATATTTCTGAAATATCTTGCCTAATTTATACTTTAGGTCAGAAAATCCCCCCAGGACTTCATGTCAGAATGAATTTACAGACAGGAGACAAGGAAGCCAAACTGATGAAGCAGACTGAGGGCAAAAATATGGAACGTTGGGATGCTGGGGAGAAGATAGGTAATTCACTTCTTTAACTCCATCTTTGGATTTGTGTTGTTGAAAGGTGGTTGTGTGTGTGTGGCAGAGAGACAGTTTATTGTACCTGACACTGAAACAGAAGTAGGCATTTGATCATCTGACTAAGACAGTTATCCTCGTCATGCTGTTGTGACATTTTATGTCACACATGGTTTGAGTCTATTCCTCCATTCCATTTTGTCCTGTGCATCCTTTTGATATTGTGGTTGGAATCCAGCTGAGCACACTGACTTATCAACATTGCTTCTAGGGTTTCTCTGGGCTTCCTTGTTTCCTCAGTTACCTTGTTTCCTATTTCAATGCCTGTTTGCTGATTCTACCAAGACTATCAGCTGGGCTCAATCTCCAGTGGGATTTTTGTATGTGACCAGCATGTTTCTGGGATTAGACCTTCTTTTGACCTACAGCTTATGCCATAAAGCTTTGCAAAGGGGGGAGGGGAGAGGGGTAGTTATATGTAGTTTCCTGTCTTTTGCTATTTAAATGGCACTGTAGGTTACAGAAATTTATGTTAACCGAGCATAGCTCGAATAACAAACACAGCAACAATTTACAAACACAGCAGACCATAATGCTTTGTATAGAATACAATGAACAAAAAGGAAAGAGATTTGACCTGTAGGTTCTATTGTGTTACACATCATTGGGTGGGGGGGGGGGGAACCCATAGAAATATTATGTATATAATAAACAGACAGATAGTGTATTGATGTATATATGCCATGAATACAGACTATCCAACATCTTCTCTCTCTGCTTTTTTTCCCTCGAGCTTTCCTACCATCACGATGTGCTCCAGTTGTCTCCTATTCATGACATGACCAAAGAATGTAGATTGTTTCCTGATGTGGGCAATCAGTTCTCTCCGTGAGTCAATTTCTTTCAAGACATCTTCATTAATCTTTTTTAAACATTTTTCTAGGATATTCTCTCATATAGGTAAAGATAATTCTCAACATTTGCAGTAGCTTCATAGATATTAAGTTAATAATGAGTTTTGTAGCAATGTGTTCATGCAAGCAAGCACCTGAAACTGCTAAACCTTTACTGCAAAAATATGCTGAATAGAGTGACTACAGTCAAGCCGTTACCAAGAAGAACTTAATACAACACAGCCTTTGACGAGAAGGCTCAAACAAGAGAGAGGAAATTGAAATATTTGTGCATGTCTTTACCATCCTCTTTAATGAGCTTTAGCAAGTTTATGTTGTGTTTAGATCTTCTTGATTATACCATGTACAGTGAAATAAGTTGGATTTCATTTGCTGTGAAAGCCTGCAAGCAAAACAATAACTGAGGTAGGGTATAAGCTTTACACTATGAGTTGTGTCTCGTCTAGCTTAGTGTCCCTCCACAACCTACCTCCTGGGAGCATCAGATAAAACACAGACTGTAGCTCTTTTTTTGTTTTGTATGTTTGTTGTTGATATGTGTTGATGACTTTTAAACAGGAATAATCAACACTGAGAAAAAGAGATATACAAGAGATGAATTGAAGAGGGCATTAAAAGACTTTAAATATAAAGCTGACATTGAATTACCAGACAAGGTCAGTTCACTTAGCTGATATCTTTTTGTTTATCTGCTCGTTTTTGTGCTCATAGCTATTATGTTTTCTATACCTGCTTTTTGTTTGCCTTTGTTTTTTTCTAAGGGTACTTTACTGCTTTTTTGATTGTTTGTTTTGTTTATGTGTATTTTGTGAGAAGAAAAAATTGGAATATCTTATGATGGTTGGAAGGTAATGGGGAATAGAGGCAGAGGGAGACTGAGAAAGAAGATGCTGAGCAGTTTGACATAATTGCATGGAAGATCCTCTGTGCCAGAAATTATTGAAAATCTAATAGACAGAAGGCTGCAGATTGACATGTTTACCAGTGCCACACGGCATAGAAGAAGAAGAAATATTTGTGTGTGTGACTGTATATATGTTTGTATGGATGGCTAAGAGAGATAAAGGGAGTGAGAGAGAGAGACTGAGTGAGTGAGGTAGGGGAGGAAGAGAAAGAGTTAGAAAGAAAGAGAAATTGTTTCTCACATTTTCTCAGTTTGTGTCCTATCCAGTGCCAGCATCTTTTCTTCAGCACTTGATTTACAGCAGAGCAGTTTATTAGGTTCTGTCCCTAAGCTCAACATTAGTGATTCTATCATAAATTCCCTCTATTCTGCGCAGGCCCCAGTTTATGAATATTTCTAGTTTATTAGTAATTGTTCTAGTACTCCTGGCTAAGATATCCACCCATATCATGCAATCAACTATACCGATACATCTCCAGTACTGCTTTATAGATCACTACAAGTGTTTGAGTTTTGTGACAGTTAATTTTGTGGACTTTTATTTCAGGAGCATGAGGAGGAAGTAAAGCAAAAGTTTCGGAGCATGGAGGAGTTGAAAAAGATCATGGAAGAATTGAACTTGAACATGAAGACAGAAGGGCAGATTGTCACAGAGCTGGAGAGTGAGCTTAAGCAGAAGGACATTGCACATGATAGGCTGAAACTTGTGCTTGTGGACTTGGAATATTATCTACACCAGGTATACCTAACCACTGTCAATATTTGCTTTTACAGTCATGATTGATTACCATGTACTTTCCTCTGAATGTAGAGTATTGAGCAGACACCCTGGGCGCTCTCCGCTATACCAGTCTCTCAAAATTGCAGGGATCAGTTTGTGCCTCCACATTATTCACTTGCTGCCAAGGAGCTTGACCACATCTAACTTGCCATGCATCAGTCTGTCTGCCTGTTTGTTTCCCAAGAGATCCTCATGCTCTGGAGAAAATGTCCAAAGCTAACTACACATGACCTGTGAAGCGTTTCCTCCCCTTGTATACGAAACATGCCTTCTCAGCATGCTTTATGGATCTCTTACAAGCAAATCATTTGTGTGTAGCTGGTTTTCAAGCCAGCGGAAAGCTGCAGTGACTGCCTGCACTTCCAGAAATGTTTCCTCTTTCTCTTGGTTTGTCGTCTGTATATTGAGCCTGTGGTGGTAGGTCTATTGTTTCTTTGCATTTGTTTATGTATGTTCCAAAATCTTCCTTGTTTGGTGTGTATCTTCCTTTTGATTAGCCTAGATTGACTCCAGTGTCCTGAGAGGAAGAAAAATAAACTCCTGAACTAGCGAAATATGTTTGTGTCAGCATTATTAATTAGAATGTTTGAAGATGAGAGGATCTTCTTTATTCCTTCATGGCTCAGTATTTTTCTACAAGAGTATTGTACAGATCACGGACTCCATAGCTCCAGCAGTTATCCTTGAGAAATATGTAAATCTCAGCCACTTAAAAACTGAAAGAGCATGAAATTAAAGCCACAACCTTCACACTGTGAGGATAACAGCTTACTATTTCATTGCACAGACCCATGTTAGGAATGTTTTAAAAAATACCTGGTAAATGAAGAAGAAAAATATAAATTTGTTTCAGAACACCTTTTTTCAGACTAATGACTGTATCTAATATAAAATGTATTTTGATACAACAGATAGACAACGCCAAGATTTTTTGTGATCTTGGAGGTATGAAGACACTGATTAGGCTGATGAACAGCACAGAGGAGGATATCAGAGAGGCAGCTACACACACTGTGGGAGCAGCTTTACAGAGGTAATTTCACTGGAATACAGAATATAGAAAACTTCACACTCTGGTTCATATTCACGGATAAATGCTTGGGTATAGCTTCTCGCACCTGTAAAACAATACATACACATGAAATAGAACTATGAGTAAAGAATGTTTAGAGCCATAGTGATGTAGCATGTGCAGTCAGCTGCCAGTTTGATGGTGGGTACTAGAATAAAATCCCCTTACAGGCAGTTTCCTAGCTAGGTCAGGTGGTACCCAACAAGGAAAAACCCCCACTGCTTGAAAAGGTAAAGTAAAGGACCCTTTTTCACTCCTTCAGGTGTATAGGGCATATAGACGATTTGGTACTCTGTGGGGGATGAGATCACCATAACGTTGGCTGCCTTTACTTTATGGGACACCACCTCGTACCCATTCAAGGCTGGGTCGACCTGTGAGCCAAGATCATTTTTTGAAGAAAAAAAAGTCGGGTACAGTGAAGACCTAAACCCACGACATTCCGATCCACAGGCGAGCGTCTAGCCGCTACACCACGATGACTCCCAGTGCTTGGAGGGATACTTTAAAAAAAATCATAACCATATTAAAGTACATAGTAAAGGACCAATTTTACACCAGTAGCACTTTGGGCATATGATGTTATTCTCCATTTTTCAGACCAATCAGCACTCAGTGGATGCTGTGTTCAGTATCACCCCAGCCACCTTTACTTCCCAAGACTGTATAATCCATTTTAGATGGGTCGACCTGGAAGTCAGGGTCTTTAAAAAAAAAATCAACTTGATGAAGATTTGAACCCATGAACTGTGGGCCTGAGGGTAAGCATCTAGCCAGAATGCTTCCATTAATTCCCAACATTGCTATATATATATATATATATATATATATATATATATATATATATATATATATATATATATATATATATATATATATATATATATATATATATATATATATATATATATATATATATATATATGGATCAGTAAAAAAAAAAAAAAAAACAATCTTTCGGCTCACATGAAAGAAATGACCAGAGAAAAATATATTAAAATTTTTTTTTGTTTTCTTAAAGATAATATAGGCAGAGAAACAGATTAAAAACATTTTTTAGCACAGGAGAACAAGGCCTAGAAAAACGAAAAAATTACATTAAAATCAAATATGTAAATTAAAAATGCCTATTTCTCTCATATATTCTGTATCCTCAGTAATCCCAAAGTTCAAGTGGCAGCAGTAGATACTGGAGTCTTACAACAGCTGCTGAAAATGGTGTCAGTTGATTCTTCAGCTTTAGTGCGCAAGAGGGCTCTGTTTGCTCTGTCAACCCTGCTACGCCAGTTCCCATATGCTCAGAAAAAGTTTCTTCAGTTGGGAGGTTTGTCAGCATTGAATCAGCTGTTTGTGGAGAGCAAGGATGAGAATCTGAAGATCAGAATTGTGACACTGCTAACCGACATGCTGCATGAATATGTAAGTATTTATTATTCTTTTTGTAAGCTTTTGTTTAGTTTTCTTTTGTTTCTTTGTATGGTAGAGTTTTGTGCTTTCATTTTTATACTGTTTCCTGATGAGCTATGGGGCTGACCTTGTGCACTCACATGCTTTGTGGTGACCTTGCACTATGGTGAAAAAATATTCAGAAAATTATTTTTAGTGGTAATTTTTTATATTCAGCGTTTTAAATAGTCTGTTAATAAAATATTCATATATTTTATTGATTGGTTGTTTTTCTTACACCTCCCCTCCCCCACATCATTATCTTTTTCCTTCTCGTCTTTCTAGGTTTTTATATTTATCTTTCCTCATTAACTGCCAACAGAGCCTTAAATAGCAGTTTAATAATATTTTTTTTTTTAACAGCTGATTTTTATTCTTTTGTTAAAAAAACTGCTAGCAGAATACTGTTTGACTTCATTCTTCTTTTGCCTTTATCAGGTAATATTTGTAAACTATTGTGTCTCCACATTTTACAGGACCATAATGTCAATCAAGCCACATTAGAAGATAATGTGCAAGCTCAGAGAACACTTCAGTATAAAGAGTAAGTTTGTGTGTCTGTTGTTTGTTTTTGTTTAAAGAGATAGAGACTGGATATTTAGAGTGTTGACCAGATTCCCTCAGAGACTGGATATTTAGAGTGCTGACCTGGTCACTCCTTGCGGCACCATTCTCAGACTATAATGATCAGTTCGTGCCTCTGCATTGTTCACTTGCTTCCCAAGGGCCTTTACTACATCTGGCTTGTCATGCATAAATTCACTGCCCTTTGGTGTAGAACCGGCCATCTGTCGGCCTCTTGTATGTTATCAAGCCTGTTTATTTCCCAACACTCCTGTATCACCCGGATAAAATATCTAAAGAACGTTAACTGCCCAGGACCTCTGAAGCGATGCTTGCCACTCTGCACAGAGCATGCCTGTCTCCACCTTTGTTAATGTGCTTTGTGAGTCAGTTACAGTCACAGCATGTGAGTACGGCTGGTGCTCAAGTCAGTGGAAAGCTGCTGTGACTGCCTCGACCTCCATTCTCAAACTAGATGTAGTATCCTATGTTAGACTTTGTTGCACTGTCATCTATTCTTTTCACAATGAAGCTTCACACACTTTTCCTGCCTCTGAACACAGAGCCATCTGTATAGATGATCACATCACCTGGACAAGAATTATCATGAATTGATTGTTGGATTTCCGATTCTGTGTTGCCTGCTGCCAACCCCTCCACTCTGCGCCAAATGTGGTTAGAACCCTACATGTCTGCTTTTTATCTGATACTTTGACCCACTGCTGTCCTCCCCAAATTTTCCCAGCGTGCAACATTTCTCGACACTGCACACAGAGAAAAAACAAAAATAACATATAATCAAACTGCTACTGGCACCAACAGAATTGGAACTCATCGCTGGCTGCTGAAGATGAGGATGGAGCACTTGTAAGAAAGTCCTGAGTGCTGTGGTGTCAGTTCCTAGCAACAACAACTCAACACATTCAACAGACTAGATTTTTCTTGTAATTATTCCTTTGTAATTAACTCTTTGGGTCTCATAAGGTGTCACATCTCTCTATGTGGGATCTGAGGCCCCTTCTGGGGAAAAAAAAGAATAGAACCTTTGTCTCTAAACAAGACTGTTGTAAAAATCGACAAATTAAGCTTTAGCTGAAATTTAAAATGTTGGTCCGACATGTGCAGGTATCGCAGCCTAGCTGTAAACCACAATACAGTGTGCTATATGCCATTTTAAGGGCGAACACGATGTACAAACAAACTTTATTTTCCTGAAATGCAGAAAGAAAGAAGAATTAAGTGATGGTTAAGATTCGAGGAAAAGAGTTAATTCCACTTTGTCTCCTACTTTGGACCAGAAGAGTTAAGGAGTGAAACCAGCTAGACCTGGTACTTCTTTACATGTTTGTTTTAAACCCGATACATCATTATAATCCCATGTCTGTTTTAAACCTGATACATCATTATAGTCCCATGTCTGTTTTAAACCTGATACATCATTATAGTCCCATGTCTGTTTTAAACCTGATACATCATTATAGTCCCATGTCTGTTTTAAACCTGATACATCATTATAGTCCCATGTCTGTTTTAAACCTGATACATCATTATAGTCCCATGTCTGTTTTAAACCTGATACATCATTATAGTCCCATGTCTGTTTATTTGACCTAAGCTTATTTAATTTTCTGAAACCTTTGGTGCTGTTCAGTGGCTAGATGCAAATCCTGTTAACTTTCCATGATTGTGGGCTCATATTGATAATTTTATTGATGAGTGAAGACATCTTTCAAGAGTGTCCAGTTGGTTGTTCTTTGAAGTACACTTGTTTCAGCATGGCAAGCCCTGTTTTAGGTTGCAGGTTTGAATCCTGGTATGGTCTCTGTAGCTTTACATTTTTATGTTGTCTAATGTGTCTTCTACTTCATTACTCTTATTTTATTAGTGCCAGTCAGTACCTTTATAAGTGTTAATGAGTAAGGAGGTTACTTATTTTACTATGCTTTTTACTGCAATTGCTTCCCTTGTGAGTTCTGAGGCTCCATTTTGTGAGGAAAAGGAATAGACCCTACTCCCAGTAACAAGCATGTCGTAAAAGGTGACTAGTTAAGGGTGCTTCCTTTAAAGTTGGTGTTCATCTGCCAGCGAGGTGAGGAACCAACAGTCTGCATTTAAAAAACACAAAAACACCAGAGTTGTAAAATTCAAGTTCTAAAACAGGGCACTTTCCAGAAGTGGATAAACAACCTAAACTTTCCACTTGAGTTTATAGCCAGTGAACACTAAAAACAAGAAGCAGAGGAATACAGTTGCTATCATTTGAAGTCACGGATGTCCTTGTCATGTTTAAGACAGCATTCTTGTTTACTTTGCATCACCCGTCAAGGATTGATTGGAAAATATAAATCTAGCCTCATGTATCTGATGTGCCGCTGGCGTGTAAAAGGACCTTCACTTGTTTATTTCAGGGTTCCCTTGAGAGAAAACTTACATAAAAATGGCTGGTGTGGTCTCACGGCATCTTTACTTCACTCTGCATCTGGACACGACAGTGTGGAGAAAATTGTGTCAGCAATGCTGGCTTTGGCCAGTACCTGTAAGGAGGAATTCTCCCTCACCCGACCAAAACTGCAAGCTCTGTTAGCTGATTATCAGAAGCTGGCACAGGAGGAGCACCAGGAAGGATCTGGTGATGTGTTTTCTGCTATCTATTCAGCAATTCAGAAACTTATAGCAGAGGTTCTTAGGGATGATTTATGAATGCAGACTTACTTTCATTTCAATGTGTGAATGTTGTATGCGGTATGATTTCTGAGACCTTGATACCTCACGCGTAGGAAAAAAAATGGTTTGAATGTTGTAACAGACAATTGTTAGTGACCACTGTGCCCTTTCAGTTTAAATGATATGTTGTAACAGACAATTGTTAGTGACCACTGTGCCCTTTCAGTTTAAATGATATGTTGTAACAGACAACTGTTAGTGACCTCTGTGCCCTTTCAGTTTAAATGATATGTTGTAACAGACAATTGTTAGTGACCTCTGTGCCCTTTTCAGTTTTAATGATATGTTTTAACAGAAAATTGTTAGTGACCACTGTGCCCTTTCAGTTTAAATGATATTTTGTAACAGACAACTGTTAGTGACCTCTGCGCCCTTTCAGTTTAAATGATATGTTGTAACAGACAACTGTTAGTGACCTCTGTGCCCTTTCAGTTTAAATGATATGTTGTAACAGACAACTGTTAGTGACCTCTGTGCCCTTTCAGTTTAAATATGTTGTAACAGACAATTGTTTGTGACCTCTGTGCCCTTTCAGTTTAAATGATATGTTGTAACAGACAATTGTTAGTAACCGCTGTGCCCTTTCAGTTTAAATGATATTTTGTAACAGACAACTGTTAGTGACCTCTGTGCCCGTTCAGTTTAAATGATATGTTGTAACAGACAATTGTTAGTGACCTCTGTGCCCTTTTCAGTTTTAATGATATGTTTTAACAGAAAATTGTTAGTGACCACTGTGCCCTTTCAGTTTAAATGATATGTTGTAACAGACAACTGTTAGTGACCTCTGCGCCCTTTCAGTTTAAATGATATGTTGTAACAGACAACTGTTAGTGACCTCTGTGCCCTTTCAGTTTAAATGATATGTTGTAACAGACAATTGTTAGTGACCTCTGTGTCCTTTCAGTTTAAATGATATAATGATATGTTGTAACAGACAACTGTTAGTGACCTCTGTGCCCTTTCAGTTTAAATGGATTTGTATGTAGAGCACTTGAAGAGAAAGAAGGTGGGGAGAGGGGGGGGGGGGGAGGAGGAACCTCTGAATTGGTTAAGCCATTTGCTTCTTCTCTGAAATGCTTTGTTTAATTTTATCTCATCCTTTGCACCATGAATGCAGGTGTTGCTGAGATCCTTAGGTCTTTTGTAGGAGCAGCAAAACCCCCCCCCCCCCCCCCCCCCCCTGCACAGTTTGTGGCGACTGCACTAGCCGTACAAACTTAACTCATTCAGTCCCATCCCAGTCAACTCACCATGCCTTTACTGGTTACTCCTGACACAAAGTGCTTTTTTTTTTCTAAACACTTTATTCCTTAAGTAACTGTTATTATAACCTGTGTGAACCCAAATGTGTGACTTTAATGACAAAAGTAATCTAAACTTATAGCATGGTATAAGATTTATCTGAAGAATTGAAATTTTATTTTCCGAGGTGTTTAATGACAAAAGTAATCTAAACTTATCATAGCACGGTATAAAATTTATCTGAAGAATAAAAATTTTATTTTCCATTGTGTTTAATGACAAAAGTAAGTAGATGTTACCAAAACAGAGTGGCCATGCTCAGTGAGGTGGTGAGGATTACATACATTTCATTAAAATGTGCGTTTATATTTGGTCTCTTACAAAATGATGATAGAACAGATATATCTACAAAAACCTTTGATTTTTGCCCTCATTCTTGTATAAATGTGTTTTCTGAATTGTTCTGTATTTATATTTATCATAAATAACATGTTTGAGGGATCCCTCTATTTATGTGCATGAATGTTGACCTGTGTTATTGCATGTATGTAAATATGCTCACATCACCTCATGCCATCTGCAGTTCTAATTATTGTACACATGGTATCATGGATGTAAAAGCTAAAAACTGGCTGTTGCATTGAAAATTACTGACAGCTGATTGCAGTGACTCTAAGAGCTAAAAGCTGGATGTTGTATCTGTAAGTTGGTTGTAATGTCCATAGGTGCTGCAATCCTGCTTATTGTATTTGCAGATGCTGAAAGTTATTTTTTTTTGTAAGAGCTAAAAGTTAGTTGTTGCATCTTTAAGAGCTCAAAGTTGGTTTATGTTAGAGCTGAACGTGAATTGTTGTCTGTAAGAGATAAAGGCTGATTGTTGCATTTGTTAATTATTCAAGCTGATTGTTATATCTGTAAGAGTTTAAAGCTGGTTTCTGAATCTGTAAGAGCTGTTGCATCTGCAAGAACTGAAATCTGTATGATGCCTAGAAATATTTAAAGTTCATTACCAGTGAACAGTTGCAGTTTTACGGCAACCAGCTTTTCAACTGTTGTTTAGAACGATTTTACTGCACATTCAATTCATGAAACGAAACACAAATGTAAATAGTTTTGTATTATCAGTCACTTTAAAACTATTTTCACATAATTTTAAACCAAATTAGTGACTGATATTTTATTCCGAATTTAAAAGGTTTTGAAAGAATTCATTAGTAGACATTGTGAAACAAAGAACATCCATATATCATGCTTATTTCTAAATTTGTTTACAGAATTAATAAATGAACCACTTCACCTTGCCATTGTTTTGTTTACTGAGGGGCCACAATTTTAAAAACTGATCATCACCGGCCATTTGCCCGAGCCCCAACATAGGAGGATCATTATTGCAATACAGCTGGCAGTGATCAACGGGCCGCCAGTTAAAAAGGCCTGGTATAGATCTTGCCAAGTATTTTGCTTACTGAATTTATAGATCATGCCAAGTTATTTTGCTTACTGAATTGTTAAAATGCCATACCATCTTCATGTTGCCATAATTTTGTTTACTGTATATGCAAGTAATCATCTGTTGTTAACTTGATATGTAATAAAATCTTGAGATACACTCAATGTGTTATAGTTAAGAATTTGATAAGTTATTGGTAAGAATGTTTTTTTAAATGTCATTTTTCTGTGAGAAATTATTTTGATATGAATATAGGACAGATATTGTCAGCTGTTGACACCGCTTTGTTTGTCTAGCTATCTATGAACTTTTCAAACTTAATGTTCGGTCACTAAATTTTGTTAATTTTAAAAATGCTAAAAAAAAGGGGGGAGAGTTCAAGGGCACCTAGCACTCTTGAGGTCATAGGTTTATTTCAGGACTTCATAATTTGGTTCTTGATTGCAGTTTTAATTCCAAGTGGTCAGGTCTGTATCTATAGAGCTCGTGCTTTGTATAAGAGATAGAGAGGGAGAGAGAGAGAGACTGAGCTGGATGTGGTAAAATTTGGTTCAGTGAAGTCAGTCTGTCACTTTTTTCTCAGCAACCATACAGTTTCCTTTGGTTGGTCAGTGTATTCCATGATTAAAATAAGAATGTCCATTTCCATTACACTTGTTAAATCTATGAGAGTCACCAAATTCTTCCTTGATTATCACAGAATAGGCAGTCAGATTCCTGAAATTATGTCAGTTTATTCCTCAGCTAACTTCCAAAAACTATTTCAGTCCATTACCTGTTCAGCTTCTAAAAACTCTTAGCTGCCAGAAACTATCAGTCCATTCCCTTATCAGCTTTCAGAAACCATCACTCCATTCCTAGATCGGCTTCCAGAAACTATTTGTCTATTCCCAGATCAGCTTCCAAAAACCACCAGTCCATTCCCCTATCAGCTTCCAGAAACCATCAGTCCATTCCCAGGTCGGCTTCCAGAAACTATTTATCTATTCCCAGATCAGCTTCCAAAAACTCTTAGTCATCCTCCAGAAATTATTAGTCTATTCCCTGATCAGCTTCCAGAAACTCTTAGTCAGCTTCCAGAAACTATTAGTCCATTCCCTTAGCTTCCAGAAACCATCAGTCCATTCCCAGATCGGCTTCCAGAAACTATTTATCTATTCCCAGATCAGCTTCCAAAAACTCTTAGTCAGCTTCCATCCAAAAATTATTTGTCTATTCCCTGATCAGCTTCCAGAAACTATCAGTCCATTCCCTTATCAGCTTCCAGAAACTATCAGTCCATTCCCTTATCAGCTTCCAGAAGCCATAAGTCCATTCCTAGATCGGCTTCCAGAAACTATTTATCTATTCCCAGATCAGATTCCAAAAACTCTTAGCTTCAAGAAACTATTTGTCTATTCCCTGATCAGCTTTCAGAAACCATCAGTCCATTCCCTTATCAGCTTCCAGAAACCATCAGTCCATTCCCTGATTAAACTGTGTCCGTACTGTTGCAGATCAACATTTCCATTTTCCAAGCAGAAAAACTAGTGAGTTGTACAGGATGAGTACTGAAACTTCCCTTTTGTGCAGATGCATTTAAGGAAGAATCTATGCTATTACAATCAATGTTACTGCTCATTGGGCATCCCTACATCTGTACAGATGCATATTAGGAAGCTATACTATCACAGTCAGTTTCTGCACATACATATTGGATATTCTCATGCATGTCAGTCCTCTGATGCAGTAGCTACCCCAGATTGTCATGATTCAGCACAGTGCATTCACATATTGACTGAAAAAAGCCTATAGATAAATGCACTGTGCTGAGTCCAAGCTGATCAATGAGAGAAAGGTTCAGCATGAAAAGTCCTTATGCTGTTTGAACCATGCTTTCATAGGAAAGTTGGTGATTTACATCATAGAATGAGATCAGAGCTTTTGTTTGCTTGTTTGTTTCTTTCTGATTTGTTGGCTAGCGTAATGCAGCAAGTCTAAAAAATTTAGGTCTAGCTCCGTATGCCAAATCCACCTGAAGGTGCGTAAAGGGGTCCTTTACGTTCCGATTTGTGACTATAGATAGCATCATTCATTACTGAAATGTTGCTGTCCACTTTTAAAATACAATTTATGAATGTTTTCTGTTCTTGCCATTATTTATGCATGGAATGGCAACATTCCATTTGTCTACTCTGTGTTCACCTTAAAACAGCAGTTGGCACTTTGTAATGGTTGTTTAGAGCTAGGCTGCAGTATAACTTTCCCTCTGATTTATTAATGAAATGTAACAACTGCCACAAGCATTATATTGAAGAGAATACATATTTTAATATTTCAAAGCAAACCATGGTAATATACAAGTTTACAGCGTGTGTTGGATTCACAGTTCACAGCATCGAATGTTTATTTTTTGAAAGTATGTCTGAGGTGACTGCTGTCTTGCTTAGTTGCATCACGGAGGCCTGAGGCAGCTGTGGCCTTGTCTGTCTTTCCACAGGAGAAATCCATCACATTCAGTCCAACATCTAGTGCCAGATAGAGGTGCCGATAATCCATGGCCAGAGAGTACACAGGGCTAGTTCTGCTGTTGCTGTAGTAAGCCTAAAAGGGGAAAAAAACCACACAAAAAATCTGCATGCATCTGCTTGATAACATACAATCGATAACAAAATCAGATAAGACCAATAAGCTATAACTATGCAGATAAAGAAAATATAAGATCCAGAAATGATAAATACAGAAAAATATTGTGGACATCTCAAGTTAAGGGCTTTCCGACAAAAACACAATCAAATGACTACAATGTCAACATTTCCAGTGATGTACAGTACTATAAATATAGTATTTAAAAAAAAAAATTGCTCAGCTAATTAACGGATAATCTTCTTCTTCTTCTTGTTCACCGGCTGTGAATTCCGGCGGTAAGTCACGGTTGTTCGTCCAAAATGGACTTTTGGCTTTTACCTTGACCTGAGTTTTGCGTGTACATCTGTTTTACTGGCTTATTTGTTTGCAGTACTCGTTCCCCGCCTCTCAGGCAGATGTACTCCGACTTCGGAGGAAGACGTCAAGCCTATTTCTAGGTTGACTGTGGCCATTGTTTTGTGTGGGTCGAGATGTTGCCTTATTTGTGTGGTGTCCTCTTTGACTTTTAACAAGTGTGGCCCCCGGCATGTCGTCCCTAAGGCAGCTCTATGTAGAGTTTTCAGCCCTCAAGGGAAGGCAGGGGCAGATCATGGGCATTCCCCGCCATCCAAGGAGGCTTCCATAAATGCAGAGCCGACACATGATGCTCTGGTTCTGGGCTCACCCAAGGAATCGTCACGTCCTGCTCATGACTGCTTAACCTCACAACCGTGTATTGAGCTTCCCGCGCTACAAGGCTGCGCTCTCCGGAGATCAGCGGGGAGCAGCCCGCAGGTCTAGGACGTTTGTGGCCACACAAATAGGTACATTCTTTTTCATCTTACGTTAGACACCTTTAACGTTGTTTCAGCTGTGCCCTTAGCACGACAGAATGGGGAAGCAAAATGCGTCAGGCGTGGCTTCACCTGTTTGGTCCCAACACTCGGGCGAGTTGGACCAGTGGATACGGACATTCAGACTTTTCCTAATCGGTACGAGTTATGATCGTCGGACTTTGAGCTTGCATGTGTGCCGTGGGGTGTAACTTTGTCGGACATTGTTTTCAAGCCAGCATATGAATAGTTGCTGCCATGGTGTACCTCAGTGCGGTGACGTCGACGCTGAGGATTGACAGAGGATGTACGTAGGTGGGATCTTGCTGCGAGAATTCGCCCACAAGAGATGTTACTCGTCTTGGCTGCGGGTAAATCTCTCGGTCAGGGTTGAGTCTCAGCAGCACAGTTTTTCATTCGCTCCAGAATTTTAACCAAGAGTTGTCATTTGATGGTACATTTAGCAAGCAGTCCTTGAGTTTTGTTACTTTTCACCCATGCGTTTGGGGGCGGGCTGGTGAGAGCCAGAAAGGACTCTACACCTCTGGGGGCCGCCAGCTCCGAGATCCCCTGCCAACTCTGTTAATGCTCATTTGTGACATTATCCGTGGCGCACGACGGGGACGTGCAACAGGAGTCTTGCATGAGGTTCCGTAAAACCAGAACAGTGAAGTACTGGCGCCCGAGTGGGGTACGGAATATCTCCTTATACACATCACATCAGACTTAACTTCCCCTCATGCCTGTGACCGAAATCACCGCGCCACTAACGGATAATAATTTTGACATTCAAAATGTTTGCAATTTAATGAGTAAAACTGCTAAAACAGCCTTGGAATTAGAAAAAGACACAAGACAGACACAATCTGACACAAGCACTGATTCTGTTTTTTCTTTTCTCAGTCCTTGAAATTAGACAAAAAATTCAAGACAAACTGATACCTGTATTGGATTGGGTGGGTGGGGGGGGGGGGGGGGGGGGGGGGGGGGGGGGGGGGGGGGGGGGGGGGGGGGGGGGGGGGGGGGGGGGGGGGGTTGGCGGCGGCCTACGATACCTGTATTTTGTTGTTGTCTTTCAGTCCTTGCAATTATTTAAAAAAAGACTCAAGACAGACACATCCGTCCTTGGAATTAGAAATAAACTCAAGACAGACACACACTGACACCTGTATTTTGTTGTTTTTATTTTGTCTTCAGTCCTTGGAATTTAAAAAAAAAGACTTAAGACAAACTGATACCTGTAATTTGTTGTTAGTTCTTGGAATTATAAAAAGAATCATTACAGACAGACACAAACTGATACCTGTAATTTGTTGTTAGTTCTTGGAATTAGAAAAAGACTCAAGACAGACAGACACAAACTGATACCTGTAATTTGTTGTTAGTTCTTGGAATTAGAAAAAGACTCAAGACAGACACAAACTGATACCTGTAATTTGTTGTTAGTTCTTGGAATTAGAAAAAGACTCAAGACAGACAGACACAAACTGATACCTGTAATTTGTTGTTAGTTCTTGGAATTAGAAAAAGACTCAAGACAGACACACACAAACTGATACCTGTGCTGGTTCTGTTTTTCTTTTGTCAGTCCTTGGAAACAGAAATAGATTCAAGATAGACCAACACAGATGCCTATCCTGGTTCTGTTTTTCTTCTTTCAGTCATTAGAACAATGGATCAACATCATGGAACATGGGTATTAACCCATAAGTGCTCCGTTCTTCTTCTAACTCAAGTCCAAGTCCGAAGAAGCTCAGCACAGTGCACAGGCTCTGTAGCACCGGTGAGGATCCTAAAATACTTTGGGTAGATTTTAACTCAAAATTCTGCCCAGGCAGCGCCGTTAGGCTACTCTTTTCGATTATTAACTGCCAAGGAATTGTGTGTGTGCGCAACAATGAACACAGGCGTCTGATCTCACTACCCAGAGTCCGGGGGGAAATTACCGGAAGTCCAAGTCCACGTGAAAAAAAGCCCTTACTGGGGATTGAACCCAGAACCTCTAGCACTTGAGGCAGACACCATGCCACGAGACCATGAAGCTCCCTATCATAAGAAACAGAAAAAGATTCAAGACACAGTTAGTAACTGATATCTGTACTGCTATTTTTCTTCTTTCAGTTCTTGAAAACAGAAAAAGATTCCATATAGACAGACACAAACTGATACCTGCACTGGTTCCGTTTTCCTTTTGTCCCAGAGACGCACCATCCCGTGCCGTGCTGTGCCCACCAGGATGGCATTGTTTCCATCAGATTCCAGGCAGTACAGTGCAGAGTCGTGTGGCTCTTCCCACTGATTAACACTGATGATAAACATTTTTTAGTTGATCAACTCATTTCCAAACAGTGACTGCTTGATTTAAAACAAAAACATTGTATAATACCCTAGTCGGCGGTTGTGGTATAGGCATTAAAAAATCAATATCTGGTTTGATTCAGATGCAGGCAAATCTGGCAGCAGACTACTTTATACTGACAATTGTATCAAGAGCCGACCGTTCAGTAAGCAACAGCAAACTACAGTGTCAAACTGCCTGGTAAAACCAAGCAGCCCAACAAAGCTGGGGTTGGTTCTGCAACGCCCTGTAAAGGATACACAACCTACTTTAAAAAACATGATATTACTTAACATAAATTCAATAAGCCCCAAAAGATGAGAAACAGAACATAAGGCAGGTTGTACTGATAACTATGTCATAACATCTCAAGTGTATCACACACACACAAATTAGGAATAAAAAAAGAAACAAAATTGCAAGGTACCAGGTACTATGCAGGGCTGAGAGGAAAAAACTAAAGCAATTTAAAAAAAAAAACTATAAAGACAAATGATAAGATAAGCCAGGGGGCTAAACTACTAAAAAGTTTTTAAGACCCTTTTTCCATGCATTGGCACATTGGGCATGTAGTGATAGGTATTTTTCTTTTTTTTTCTTTTACAGACTAATGAGTACTCGATAGCTAAAGTGGTCAACATCATGGTGGCAATTTCCTGCCCAACTCTCCCAGCACTTTACCCAGTACCCATTTTAGCTGGGTTTATTTGGCAGCTAAATTTAATTTTTGAAAATACCTTCCTTAATACAGAGATTTAAACTATAGACTTTTGGGCCAGCAGTTGAGCATCTCGATGCTTTTCTAAAACACCAGTGGCTAAGCTATAGTAATGCGGGAATTCAAGAACATGATCTGTAAGCTGAAGTAAGGAAAATAAGTCAACTGACATTTGTTAATTCATAATCAGGAAAGGCAAGCAATCGGGGCAAAACAAACAAACATACCATCTTTGTGTGCGTAGATCCCACAACCTGATAAACGTATCGTAGCCACATGTCAGCAGTTCATGTGGAGACTCAAACCGCAGATCTAAAACTCCAGCTCCACGTCGATGGTTCACACTCAACTGCCCCACACATTCTCCACTGGCGCAGAGGATAAAATGTGAATTAACATGCCACTTCGGCTGTGAACATTCAGTAATTTTGTTCATGAATAAATAAAATAATAATTTTGTTGCTCAACCCTCCGCCACAGAAACCTTCTTAGAAAAAGTAATAAACTTTGGAATTAGTTAAAAATACAGTAAAACAATCATTTTACACAGGTCACTAATAATTTGAACGTGACTTCTCAAACTTCCTACTACCAAGATGTTTAAATACGGTTCTCCATGTTGTGGCGACCCCCAACCATAATCAATAAACACAAATGAAGGGGAGAATAAAATGGAATACATTCGTCGGGTCTAAAGAATATTAAATGGTGACACATGTCGTGACACCAATATGTGACCTCTAAGAAAAATTATCAATTGAAAAAGCCTTATCCCCAAACAAAAGCCGCCTTCTCCCCTCATGCTTGTTATATTTAGTGAAGGTAACCATATCTGCCTATCTTAAACATTGCAAGTGCAGACGCAACAAATGCAGTTAACTAGGCTTGTTAGTACTGGCAAATGCAGTGAAGCCGACATACAGGATTCGCCGGGGTTTGTAACCAACCAGGACGCTGAACTATCTGCGTCACAGGACCAACAAGTGTAACTGTGCAGAATTTTACAACAATTGTGGCCACATTACCAATGAAAAATTTGACCTCTCACTGCATATTTACTATTGTGTACAAAGTATTTAAATATGACAGGATACAATTATAATTCAAATGGTAATAATATTACTAATTTTGTTCGAGTAATTTACTCTTGCATTAGATAGCTGAAGAGGATGTAACGGTTAAAACAGTTAATTAGGCAGCTCTTTATCTTTATGCAGCACAGGGGGAAAAATACACACCTAGATCGAATTCTGTTTTACAGTTAACTCTTTCTGCACTGCATGCACTATTATGAGTTTTCGGTTTGGCCAGTGACTGTTCTAATGCCCCCTTGCTATACACGGCACACATTTCTTGAGAAAGTACCATAAAGCAGTCCAGTGGAGAAAAAAAAACCAACAAAGGGTTTTATGGCATCAGTGACCTGCTGTCATTTTATGCACGTCTGTTTGTGTGTGTACCATTATCTTCCTCATCGTGCAGAGTGGCAAGCATCACTTCAAAGGTCTCAGGTAGTTAACATTCTTAGAATAGTCTCTCGAGATCAAGCCAGTGTGTTGGGAAATGAGCAGGCAGATACACTGGCCAGTTCTACACCACTTGGTGGTGAACTGATGTATGACAAACTAGATGTAAGAACCCTCTGGCAGCGAGTGAACAGCGTGGAAGCGCAAATAGATCATTACGGTCTGAGTAGAATGGCGCGGCAAGGAGTTACCAGGAGATCTGGCCGATGCTCAACACTCAAGGAAAAGGTGAGATGAATATACAATCAGACAGTTAATGGGGCCATTGGAACTGGAACTCTTTGTTTGCTGCTGAAGATGGGGACGGAGTGCTAATGGGAGTGCCATATCGCTAAGTGTAGACTGTCATGTTTCACCATCTCAGACAATCATGGATCAGGGTGAAATTATGATCATTCTTGAAGAAGGTTCTTGGAGTCTTGAAGAAGGCAGTTTGCCATTGCTTTCCTTTTAGGCAGTGATCACAGTGGTTGGATGATCACAGCCATTGTCACCATAATGCCTTCATCTTCTTAGAGTTCATCAGCTGTAAACTCCGGCAGAAAGTTTAGCTTTGTTCCAAAACTTTAGTTTTGCGTGCAAATCTGTTTTACAAAACTTGCCTATTCGTGTGCATTGGTTCATCGCTTCTCAGGCAGGTGCACTCTGAAGAAAACATCCCTAATTAGTCGCCTCCTAAGACATGCTTGCTAGGAAGGCAGCGAGTCTATTCTTTTTTTCCCTTCAGATGGGGCTCTGGAACCAACCTGGCGATCTCTGTAATGTGATCGCCTTCCTACCACAGAACTTGAGACCATGACCAGCAACTATTTGCTTGGCTGCATCCAGCACCTTCACAGGAGGCCAAACACTTGTCATAGGGCACGGCTATTCAGCTAAATTATGCAGGTGTCAAAATGTTGAAAACTTGCAACATCCTGGACTAAAGGCCTGAGCCCCAGCACAAAAATATCACTACCTTAATAATGCTGGCAATGATCCTGCTAGGCCTCTACGTGCTCCCAGTTGAATAGCCCTGCTACAGGATGTCCTGTATGCTAGCAGTTAGTGTAAACAGGTTCATAGTTCATGTCACAGATCATCTTCATCGCACATTACCATAATAATATATAATGGGTGTAAATGGGTGTGCATATTTACAATTTATTTGTCAGCTGTTAAATCACAGATGCAATAGTACAGAAATGTAATAAGATGTAATGGCCTAACCAAAAACAGAACAAAAAAACAACTATAGGGCTCTGTAGAGGGGAAGAGGTGAAAAGGCAGACAGAACATGGCTGACTGAATAGACCTTAGGCATGCAACCACAAAGACCATTGCATCTGACCCTCAAAGGTGGAGGGAGATGATCAGATAGTTAACAGCAACTGGCGATTCAACAACAAGTAGTGTTATGGGATGATGACGATGAAAAACATCACAGATAGCCAACAAGTATCAAAACCTACCTGCCTATGTCCCATAAAACAATTGGAGGGTCATCCTGACAACCTGCTAGCCCAGCTGCAAAAAAACTGAAAGATTGACATCTCTTTTAGATTTACACATCTGCAGCAAACGTCTGATACAAAAAGATGACATAAATTTGTTGTGCGCTGTTAACTTCATAACAGAGACAATTTAAAAAAAAGTATCTGTTGAGTGCTAAAGGGGACTTGTGTTAGAAGTCCTGTTGGTCATAGGAGTCCTTCGACAGGCTGACTTGCTGTGTGCTTTGGAGAAAGGGCAAGGGAACTCAGATAGCACACAAATGTGTGGTTCAGACTGTTGAGGATCAGAGGTCCCTCAAACTATTCGAACTTTTGTGAGTGTGGGAGGTCCCTAGTTCAGTGGCTCTGGCTCCCAACTGTTGACTGGCTCAGAGGTTGAGACTGTTGTGAGTGCAGGAGGACCCTCGTTCAATGGCTCTTGCCCCTAATTGTTGTGTGCTGAGTTACACACTAATCAGCACACTTCCAAGTGTCTACAGATATAACTTCCGCTCCCACACTCTCGAAGCAGGACTCGACAACAGTAGTTCCGTCATACACTGGATTTATTTGACAGAACACAAGAGGGTATATACAAGCCCTCACATCAACAAAACTGCAGAGACGTAGACATTGATCCTAACTGGCATTCGAACTTAGTCCATATAGTCCTCTCTCTCAACTTGTGACCCTACGTCTCCTTGCGCCGTCACCCAGAACAGTCACTATCGGAGCATCCAGTCCCCTTGGACTCACTTCGCCAGTGGGACTATAACATCGACCAGTACCACAATCACAACCCTTACTCAGACCTCGATGCCTGATAGTTGCACGGTACTCTGTCTGCCTCACTCGAGAGATACTGACTCTGACTTGGTCTCTCTCTTTGTGCTGGGTGTGTACTACACTTGCACTTCCCAGTGCTTTAGCTCTCTGGCTACAGCTCACTACTCAGGCCAATACTGACACTTACATTCCCTTAAACTCCCGGAAAGTACTATCATACCACTCTGTCCCTTCACACACTATTACACTCTCCCAAATCAAAACGCAACAGCATCCAAAAACCATGAGTTGTAAACCCTGCTGGCTCGGTACTATGGATATTGCAACCCTTCGGCCTCGACTCCATGATAGATACTCTAAATCTGGGAGAAATGTGGCTTTTCTGCCTACCTCCGGGCATGAACCCGGACCACAAGGAATTCATCACCCGGTTTTAGGCAACTGCGCTAGCGAGCCGGGCAACAGAGATAATCAAAGTGGGTGATGCACTGTAAACTTCAATCATAATATAGATAGTCAAAGTGGGTGATTCACTGCTAATTTCATATCATAACAGATATAATAAAAAATAAGAGTTCAAGGTGTACAGCTAACTTCAAATCATAACACGTAATCAAAATGGGTGGGGTTCTGCGGTTCTGCTAACTTTATATAAGAGAGATAATCTGAGTGGGTTGTGCACTTCGAACTTCTTATAATAAGAGAAATAATCAAAATAATGAACTTTTGGACTGGCTTTGTTGCCTAATGACTACTCCGATGGTGCTTTTTATGACTCCCAGGAGTAATGGGTGTCTTCAGTGTCAGAAGCAGTAGCCGATGCAGAATAAGGAGGAACAGAAGAAGACGGAGGAGTAGTAGAACAGAAGAAGAAGAAGAAGCAGTAGCAAAAGAAGGAAAAGAAGAAGAAGAGAATGAATAATAATAGAAGAAGAAAAGGAAGTAGCAAAGGAAAAATAGAAGAAGAAGAGAAGAAGATAAAGACTAGGATGAAAAAAGAGTTGTAAAAAATATTGATGTATAGAAATAAATGATATACAAACAATGAGCACAGATTTAAATCCACTGAGATCTGAGGTAAACAAACCTTTCACAAGGAGAAATCTTCAGCGACCAGACTCTTTCCCCAGCATCAAAAGACTGCAGTATTACATCACTACCATCAGATGGAGCTTCTACTGGTAAAATCTATAAAAACATCAGTGGAACAACACTTAATTCCATAAACAAACAAGAATAAGGTAGAAAAACTATATGAAGCATTGTAAAAGTAAAGGACCCTTTTCTCGGCAGTATCAGGCACATGATGCTAGACTCCTATATATCTACAGACCAATCAGCATCAAGGGGTGGTCTGGTCAACATCTTGCTAGCTGCATTTACTCCCAGTATGTTACATGGTACACACTTCAGCCGGGTCCACCTGGGAGGCATAGGCGGGTCCACCTGGGAGGCACAGGCAGGTCCACTTGGGAGACATAGGCGGGTCCACTTGGGAGGCACAGGTGGGTCCACCTGGGAGGCACAGGCAGGTCTACCCGGGAGAGACAGGTGGGTCCACCTGGGAGACAGGTGGGTCCACCTGGGAGACAGGTGGGTCCACCTGGGAGACACAGGCAGGTCCACTTGGGAGGCACAGGCGGGTCCACCTAGGAGGCACAGTCGGGTCCACCTGGGAGGCACAGGCGGGTCCACCGGGGAGGCAAGATAATGTTCTGAGTAAATTCTACCCTGTACAAATTTGAACCCCAGCACCACGGGTGATATTATAGACAGTGTAAACAGAAAAGTCGGACGACATATGAAAGTTAACATAATGGGCAATATTTAGTACAGCACAACCTCAATTATCTGGCCTCTGTATTACCTGGTCTAGTTTTTAATAAAAATTCTTGGTAAAGAGATAAGGAATAATATACTTCGCAAAGTTGCTGCAACCATTTATCATGTGTGCATAACACAAGCTGAGACATCAAAGTGGGCATCTGCCCGCATCCTGCTAAATAACTATCTTCATTTCGTCAGTTGTATATCGGATTTCAACAGTGTGAAGTAGCAAAGGTATTTCGCACTGTTCCTGCTTACTTTATCACACTGTTCTTTGGTGTGCTTCATTGTTTTGTTAAATTAAAGATTATGAAATGGGTGATAAAGAAAAAGACTAAGGAGAAGAAACTACACGTCATAAAGTGACCAGACTCTGGGATAATGGTGAATTTTAAAAGTACAGTTGCAGACTGGAAGATAAATCCAGCAGAAACTGAAAAGTGAGGTACTGCCCGATCTAGTGGAATTGGAATGACCTTGGATTAGACCTAGACAGATAAATGTTTTTTTCTCCACAGGTTGCATCTGAGATTCAACAGGGTACAAACCAATAAATCCCCAGAGGGAGGAAATAATACAACTGAAAATAAGAAAAATACATGCACAAACAAAGCTAGGGTGTATGAGGTAAAAAACTAATATAATGTTCATAATTTTCCTGTCACTGACAGAAAAAAACAAAAAAAACAACAACTCATTTTTAGCGATTACCGGCTGTAAACTCAAGTGGAAAGTTCTGGTTGTTCATTCTGGAGTTCAGCCTTGTTCCATAGTTTTGTGCGCACATCCAGTTAACAGATCTGGCTTATATGTATATAATTTGTTGGTTCCTCTCAGGAAATGTGTCTAATTAGTTTACTTTTATGACAAGCTTTGTTAGTGAGGCAGACGGTTTATTCTGTTGTTTCTTCCACAGTGGGACTTAAATAACCTACACGAACACAAACAGAATTTCTAAATAATAAGATAACCGAAACAAATTAGTGTCTTCTTCTTTAACCCTTAAAGGGTAGCTGGAACGTTGCGGTTTACAGCTAGGCTGAAATATCTGCATGCATCTTTTGGCCTAAGCCATCTGATTTCAGCAAAATCATAATTAGTTGCTTTTCTGACATGCTTGGGAGACAGTATGTCTAACCCCCCCCCCCCCCCCCCCCCCCCCCCCCCCCCCCCCCCCCCCCCCCCCCCCCCCCCAGAGGAACCAGCTGGCTGTTTGTCCAAGAATCATTTCCACACACTAATGAAATGACAAAAACACACTAAGCTGCAAACACTGACACCACAGGAGTCTTACTTTACATGTTGCATCTCTGGAGCCTGTAATAATGACAGAATCTGTGAAGTCCACACACTGGGTATCACTTCCATGCACTTGCTTGTAACAGAACATGAGGTTCCCTGAGGTGTCCCAACCATAAACACTTCCATCTCTGCAATAACAACAAAAGTATCTGACAATCTCATCTTTCTTCTGGCGAATTAAGTTATCAAATTTACACAATCTATACATATAAATATTTGTCAGTAGCATAAAAAGCATAAGAAGCTAGACAATTGTGCAATTATACCAAACAGAAAAGAAAACTATATTCATTTACATTCCAGGGTTGAATAGAGGAGATGAGGCTTTTGAGAAGAAAACATTAAAAAAAAACCATATAAAATGTCCAAGGCATATCAACAGAAGATGACAAAACCAGAGAAACATGTGAGAAAATACCAGACAACTAAGGCTGAGCAAGACTGAAAAATATATAGGTAGAAAACTTACAACTGGGCCACAGCTAATAATATAAACAAAACTAATTTAATTGTACACAAATATCAAATGACATAAAAGATTTGATAGTCATAACTGCTGGTGTATGCTTCAAATCAGCAAGACAATGAAACAGAGCATATTAACTTTTACATGATGTGAGGTTTTGGTGTTGATGTCTCTCTACTGATTGCAATTTGATGCTGCATATTCTACATGGCTCACAAACAGAACAACACGCTTGAGCTATACACTGGTGCCCCACATATTATATTACTCTGTAGGCTACATTTTCACTCCCTGATGACATAATCTATTACCAGGACAACATCATCAACAACCAAAGGATAAAAAGGTCACTGGATACTATTTCACTGTACAGTGCAGACCGCTCAAGGCTATCTTGGATGTGGTGAATTCCTGTTGTGAAGAACAATTCGTTTATTGCTGGCAATTTTTCTTGCTTGAAATCTTAATGGGATATGAGGAATTTCTTATAATAACTATTCCTTGGGTTCCCAGTGAGTTCTTAACTAGTCTGAACAGTAAGTGCTTGGAAATATCAGTCCCTACTACCAGCCACCTGTCTTTTATCAGGTACACCTTGTACAGTTAAACCCCAAAAATATAGGTCTAACAAAATATTTCATTGCAAGATGTTGACCATATCAAGCTTCGAATGCTGACGCAAACAGAAGTAGAATTGTAGAAATTTAGAAGTAGATGCAATATTTTGGCTATGCTCTGAGGAGAAATCAACTTGAAAACTTAGTGACAATGTGCAAACCTAAAGAGAAATAAGCAAACGGAAGACACCGGGCTGGAAGTATATAAACACAACAAATCAGAGGGCAAGCTAAGGAAAGATGACACAAGACGAGTCCACGTTAGAGCTAGCAAGCAGCTCCAGACAAGCAGTGGTGACCCCAAAGGTGCAGACATGGATGGCAATGATGATAGAAACGACAAGCAAATGGTATCTGCCACAAAGAAAAACCTCAAAGACCTAGAGGCGCAATTATAACCAAAGCTTATCCCAGAAGTGGGTTGAAATGGGTGACAGTTTTACTTCTGTTGTTGGAAAATCCAAGCTCAAGCCACACAGCATAAATGGGCACAAGAACAAAGACCTAATTTGAGACTGATGATTGTATGAGAAAGAAGTGAACCATAACCATGCTTATCAGCATGGACCATGATGATTTCCTACTTCATTTAACAATCAGTATCTTGCTTAATATCATCTCCTGACTCTTCACCCCCTCCCCATCGCCCTCCCCTTTCCACTGAAAAAATAAAACCATCTTTTAAAATGCGCGTCAAAGCATTTAGTTTCATAGTTTTAAAACCAAGTTACATATTTTAAATTCTAATGTTATTTCAGATTTGACACATGCCAGTGAATGCTGGAGAACCACTAATGACATAATAGATCAATACATTTTGAAAACAAAGACCTGAAGAAAATGATGAACATAAAATGGAATGAATTGAAAAAGAGAAGAAATAAGAGAGATGTTTAGGCACCCACTAGTATCAACAGTTTTGAGACAGAGAAGTTGCTGCTATATTGGACACATTATGAGAAGAGATGAACAGAGAATCACCACACAGGCAATGGAATGTGAAATACAGGGAAGGAAATTAGGCCATCCGAGAGAAACGCTAAGGAGAATGTTAGAGGCCAAAGCTGCTGGACTGGATTGCACCCATGATATCGAAGTGATTGCACAGTTTAGAACGGAATGGAGAAACGGATGGTGAGCCCTATGTGACAGATAATAACATAACAGGACAATGAATGAATGTCAACCCATCCATTTCTAACATGTTAGCACCATTTTCACAAAATCTCATTCTCACCGGCAACCACTGACAACCTTGTCCTTCTTGACACAGAATCTGGTGGCGTCCTCTTGCAAGCCCCGCAAGCACCTCTCTTTAACTTCACAGACTTGACCTGATGAGTGGAGCTTGAAACAGCTGATGTTACTGCCCATGGAGAACCAGAGGGCATCATCAGTGGTTTGAACCCACGGCATCAGCCTGTGTGTTATAAAACAATGCCTGCTGAAGTAGGATGTTTCAGAAGTAAAGTGCAAACATTGCAGCCATGTTGTAAATGGGCACAACGCATCTACATCTTTGAAAAAATACAGAAGAGTTCTAATGTTCCTATTTGTCTCTAGAGAGGTACAATGTGTATTCAGAGCAAGGAAAGGTCACAACCAAATTCAACATATTTTACAGTTTTTCTGTGTAGGAAACATGGAGATGTGTCCCTGCAACACAGCACGAGAAAATGCTGAAGATGTATGTACTCCAGCATTAAATTGTATGCTGCAATCTGGCCTGTTCAAACCTCAATGAAGACAAAGCTGTATGGTACATAGGAGATCTGAACTGCAAAATAGCTTTCATCATGGCTACTGTCGTGGAATGATAAGCCATTACGCATCACCTTAACATGGTCGAGAACTGTCTTACCTGTGCTCGACACAACATTCAAACTTGGACTCGTCCGGAAAGGTATATAGTCCCTTGTATCGATATATGCCTTGATCGGACATAATTATAATATCTACATCTTCTAGTTGCTTTGACTTAGCAACATTTTCAAATTTGCAACTATTGGACAAAAATTACTGGAGTTATTTGAGGTTTCTTAGAAACCGATTTACTCCTTGCTCCTGTATACAAGGAACTACTTCTTACCTACGCCTGAATTGAAATTTAGCGGTATTATTCTGCCGGCTTTCCTGGAACTCAGACGTGTCCATCGACGTCAGTACATTTCATTTTAAAAAGGCGGTCTGTGGCGCCTAGGACTTTTCCTATGCTTGGGTAAGTTAATTATAGTTTACGAGTACCTAAAATGATGTCTGTTAAATTGGTCACTGCTGTAGAGAGATCAGAATCGGCTGTGGGATCACACATAGTTTGACCGTTCTTGATCGCTAGAGAAGCGGATTCGAACTTAGACCTTCCTCTGTACAGACTAAATAGCCTATGCCCTAAATAACCCACACATACTGGTAAAACTAATAACCTTACAAGTGTGTACCATTTAAACTAGCAATAGAAGTTTGTGCATACAAATGGGGAAAGAGAATTTAGGTCAGGACTTGGTCAGCCAGCGCGTGAGTGTGTTTGACCCAGATCAATGAATGTGTGGGACTGGCTTGAGAGTCGTAGGGAATAGAGGTACTGACGGTAAATATTGGTGTCTGTGTGCAGAGGTGAGGGGGGAGAGAGATTGATATATGTGTTAGAGTGTCTATCTCCACTATCTATCTGACTTTCCATCTCTTGCACTAAACAGACAGATGAATGATAGGAGACTGTGTCTCCTGGTCTTGAGAGTGCACTCTGAGGAATGAAACAGGGGAGCAGAGGTGGAGTAGGCTGATGTGGGATGGTGACTGATACTTATTCTGTCTTTCCTGTCAAGATGTTACCCTCTTGGTGATGACTAATTCTGAGTTCTTTCTTGGCAGGATGAAACCTTTGTGAAGAGCTGGCAGAAGAATCACAGTCCAACCAACCAACCATCAACCTATTACCTACCAATTATCACCCAACTACCAATTGTGAAGACTGACATCCTCAAGATGGGGTGCCATATACCCCAAACATCCTACAGTGCCAGAGCAAGTGTGTAGCTCAGGGACAGTGCTGCGAATGACTAGTGGGAGAGATTTGCTGTGTGCCTATCCAGTTGCTGTGTCCTTTATGGTGAGGTACTTCTTCACCATCTGATCCAGTTGAGGCAGAGTTACCAAAGACAGTCGAATCATCAGGAGCTGAGGGAAGCATCAACGATAGAAAGAGGATAAGTGCCAGTTTGATGCCATGTTTTGCTATATTCCTCACAGCTCCCATGTTTCCAGGGATGAATTTGTGTCATCTCCAGATCATTCTGGCTGTTTAGTTATCTTTGCAATCTGGACATTGTATTCTGGAATCCAGCTATTGAGATCTGGCATCTACTTCACTATTATATATATGTATATGTTGTATTGATTACATGCATTCATTTTCATGGCTGACTTAGGTGTCTCTATTTCCCCTTTTTAAGTGTTAAGCATTTGTGTGTGTATGAATCTTAAATATATGTGTTAACATGGGTATGATAATGAATTATCATAACCTGGGGGCTTTCTTTAGTAAGTAGTGGGGGTGTCCAGCCAAGTGTGCCTAGGAATATTGTATTCATATACAGATATATTTTGTAGTGCCAATACTTGAGTTGCCCTACTCCAGAAATAAGTTGAGCGTATATTGGCCACGGGGAATCCCTTAGACCAATACGAGCCAAACGACTCAACATAATTATTTCTGAGTGCTGTTGGTTCTGAAGGAGAAATCCTTATATCAGGCACGTGACAGGAGTGATATGTGACAGCTACCAACCTCCTGGTATACATTTTCTGACAGAAGGCTCGAAGCAGAAGAATTCAGATGCTGAGGTTACCTTTATTTATGCTTTCGTTACATTCATAAAAAAAAAAAAAAGAGTGCTTCCCTTTTTAGCTTTTGATTATATTTTCATGATTCCTTTTTCATGCAAACACCTATAAATCAAGTTGCTGCAGCACAAGGTTAGTGCATGTACTTACCAAGATGACCACACCACTACCAAGATTTTAACAGACCAGTAAATTGCAAGAGTCAATCCAGTTTTGTAACAAGAGTGCTGGAAAACTTTCTTAAAACTTTCCAGTAAATTATTTGAGAAGTAAATTGGCCAGGAAGACATCATGTCATTACCTAATCATCTAATACATGTGAAAATCTCACAATTTTTCTATTTCACATTCAACGGCTGTTAACTCTGACGGAAAGTTCTGGTTGTTCATTCACTCCTGGACTTCAGTCTTTTTCCAGAACCTCAGTTTTGAATGCACATCCATTTTATAGATCTGTCCTACCTGTATGCAAACTACTAATTCCTCAGCTCTCTGGCAGATGCACCCTGACTTCAAAGGAAACCCATAATTAGTAGACTCTTATAACAGACATGCTTGTTAGAGAGTCCCCCCCCCCCCCCCCCCCCCCCCAACGTCATTGGAATCCACAAGGGAATCACAACAATTAAATTCATTACGGTCATGAGAGAATGGTGCTGCGAAGAGTGGCTAGGAGATCTGGCCAACAGTCTACACTTGGAGGAAAGGCAAGACATATATAATACAAATGCTTTTGATACTATCTACAGTGGAACTCTTTATCAGCAGCTGAAGACGAGGAGAGAGCACTTAAGGGAACATTCCAGGTGTGGTGATGTTGGTTCTTAACTGAACACACACAACTTTCTAATGACCACCAGTCATGTATATTCATCATTACCAACCACACAGCTTATAATTCTGTAACCATGTCTGTGACACATACCTGTGTTTATGTTTCACAGCAAATCCCTCTTTAAATCGACCAAGTTTCCAGTTTGGTGCTACTCGACACAGTTCTTTTGCTGAGCAGGGCTGACTAAAAAAGAATAAATATAAAAATAACTCAGTATGTTTTCCAAACATAAATATCATCATCAAGTGCCTGGTGTCCTGTAAGAGTGACCACGCCTCTCCCCCATTCTCTGACTGCCAACAGCATGCACTAGCTCCATGCCATGACAAAATGCTGTCTTGAATTTTTCTTTGTGTCTTCCTCTATTTCTTTTTCAAAATATAAACTTAGTGGGAATACAAAATATGCTACAACAAAAATTTCTTTTAAATATGTTTACGAATGAATGATAATTATTGCATTACACTTTTCCTGCTATTACAAGCCCATCCATAAATATAAAAGACCGTAACTATTATCAGTATTGTGCGTGTGTGTGAACTTAAAAACATGAATCAACATGTAAATTTTTAGGTAAGGCTGTCAACTAATTGTGTCTACTGTAGAGATAATTTGATGCAACATTGTCGTTCCATTAAAACACTGATTTAGTCTTAAACCAGTGATTGTGTAATAATTTGATGCAACACTGTCGTTTCATTAAAACACTGTTGTAGTCTTCTACCAGTGATTGTGTAATAATTTGATGCAACATTATCGTTTCATTAAAACACCGCTGTAGTCTTCCACCAGTGATTGTGTAATAATTTGATGCAACATTGTTGTTCTGTCAAAACACTGTTGAAGTCTTCCACCAGTGATTGTGTAATAATTTGATGCAACATTGTTATTCTATCAAAACACTGTTGAAGTCTTCCACCAGTGATTGTGTAATAATCCATGACTCACATCCATATGTTGCCACAGGAAATTTTTATATTCCAAAATGATTATTATATGTATTATTGTTGTTGTTACTGGCGCAGTGCAACAAGCATTTAAATGGTGATTAATCATTATTACAGTTAGTCTCCAACTGACTTCTAGTGACTAGTATTTATTGTTGCCAATGTAAGGATGATCAAAGAAACCTACATTAAATTCCTGGTACATCTGGTTGCTAGATCATCGCAACGTAATCTCACAAACAAGTATGAGAAGTATGACCCACATACAGAACAGCAGTTTACTTCATTAGTTAGCTGACAGATCATTCTTACTGCACATCAAACGCTTTAGTCCAAACAAGCTTGGATCCCCTCCTCAGCAGGAAATCCTGCACTGTGTAGCAGCTGACCAGTTCTGAGTTGTTTTCTTATTCTTCTTTTGCTTCATGCATAGTACTCTCCGTGGAATATGGGTGCTCTTCCCATATGCCCGATGCGCCTAAGGGCGTGTAAAGGGATCTTTACTTTTTTACTTACTTTTAGTACTCTCATCTGGCCACACCCCTTTTAAAATGGTGCTCTTGCAGCATGGTCATAGCTGCTGATTCATGACTCGCAAATGTCATATTTCCTGTAGAGCATTTAGTACATCAGCCTCTGGTCTATGGCTCATCCACCCACTACAGCAGCCTTACCTGCAAGTCAATCAACTCATTCATTTCCTTGAATGCTCCGGCACAAAAATCAAACTGATCGTTGTCAGCCTCAACCATTTCAGAGACACCCACAAATGTCTCTGTACCCACACAATCTCTATCTTCCTGAGCTTAATCATTGAGTTCCTGAGAAAGCAACGGTGATTGACGGTCTGTGTCTCCAGACATGTTATTGACATGGTCATTGCCATGACCTCCACATGTTACTTCGTTACCACAGGATGCCCTAACATAACATTCTTTATGGTTGAACAGGATATCTGAAATTTTCTCCTGTTGAATTTGCATTGAAAAAATAATCATTTTGTGTCAAACCTTCAGGCTGTGACCCTGGAAAGAAAAAAAGCAATATCCTGCACATTTTTCAAAGCATTGTGGACACAAGTAATTACATATACAAATATCATAATATAATTTATACCTTGTGGAAAACTGTTTTACTACTGCGGTTCTCTTAGCATGCTGCAACCAAACAGTATCCTGTGCCGTCAAATAATAAAACCTCCGACACACACATCCAACATGGCAAAGGTCTGCTGGCTGCAGAAATGTAAAGATCAAAAATAAAACGTCATCTGGCAGGCTCAATATATGACACGGTACATTATTCAGTCCAATATTTTCGTCAATTAGCGATATTCTGCGTTCAGCAGCTCTACCGAAGACGGTGGTGAAAGACTTTGAATCTGAGTCAGGGAATTGAGTGGTGTAACAATCATGTTCAGATTGGCTGTCACGATTTTCACTAGCTTCCCATGATCTGTGTTGTAATGGCAACCTCGGTGAGTTACTCTCATGTGTGTGAACACTCTGGTCGTCCGAGTTACCAGCGGCAAGATTAGATGAGTGACCATTTCTTCTGCTATTGTTGTCTCGATCTCTGGTGTTGTCGTCACCTCTCCGTCTGTTTCCACCTCCTCCTTGTCGTCTCGAGTGGGCTGTTGTATGTTGAGACTGTCCAATAATTCGTGTTCTTCTGTTCATGGTGGTTTATAGATTCTGGAAACGTTGAGAGGAACCTGTTGTTACTGTAAGTGTAGTGTTCTATTTTTATCATCTTCGTAATCATAATATTTGTTTTTCAGCTTGTCAGGTCCAAATTTAGTTTTCATTCACCACGCCGCCATCTTTGTTTGTTCAAAGTGTATTTACAACACAGAAGAGCAATGTCCGGTGTTAGCAGATTTCTCGGTTAGGTTCACGTAAATCTCCCCAAAGTAGGTCCCTTTTCATTCACAAGTTTGTTAAGCTGGTAGGCTTTCATGAATGTTACAGGTGTGTCCCGCTCTGTTGTTTGCTTTCTGTTTTGTCTTGCATTTACGTTTTCATTCTGAGAAAGAGAATGCCAGAGACAAACTTTGCAGCACTCTCTTGAGCGAGGGAAGGGGGGGGGGAGGGTGTGTTAGGGTCGTTTTCTCTATGTTTTAGGAGTGTTGATATCAACAGCATTGGGGACAGGTTCAAGAACTACCAATCAGAAGTGAGCTAGTGTGCATATGGGCTGGACGTGGGGAGATTAACTGTAATTATCACGTTAAACATCTGTTTATTTTACTGAACACAAAGCTCACAAATAACAAGACTTCTCACAATGATTCACAAATAACAAGACATTTCAAACCATCCACTGCTCGACAAGACCATGTGCTACTCACTCCATTAACAAGGAAATAGGATTAATGAACGCACACGTTCGGAAATTTTACATAAGTGATAGCAAAAATCGAAAGAAATTAGTATGTACGTTAAGCTTCAACATACCACCAGATCAGTAAATTGCACATAACGACCTGCAATCAAACTAGCCCCGAGCGAGGAAACGCACTGCTATCTATGTCAACTCACACAGTCTAATTACTGGTTGAAATCTCGGTCTAGCACCGAAACTAACCATGGAGAAGTACCGAAAGCGTGATAAGCTACGCCGTCCCTCTCCACTACCAGCAGTGTCAGCGGCGCGGCTGGCGAGGTCGGAGGGCGGAAAGCTTAAGAGGCCTTCTCTCCTGAACAAGCCCTGTTATTAAATTATGACCTCTGCTTGCCATACTTTTTTTGCAAGTCCAGTGAAACTCGTGGCCGCCCGGCTTCATTAGCATTCCTTGTGGTTAATTGCTGGAGAAAAAGACTCGCATCCATCCATGTCTGTGACTGATCTCTTTCCAGCTGGTGACTTCAATTGTGTGTAGGTCTGCATATCTACTGCCCCCCCCCCCTCCCCAATCCTTCTTCGTGATTCACCTTAGGGTCTACTCTTATTAATGAATGTATCAAACAATCAAGAATTGACATTACTACCCTCGAGACATTTCCACACGTGTAGTAAAACAATGAATAGGAGGGGTTAACAGGTACTAATATACATTGACATAGGCATACTGTCAGAGAAGAAGATGTGGAGAAGCGCCAAGGAATATATTCACTGAGACCAGCATCAACGCCAATCCATCACTGAATGGAATGATAGCCGGCACACCACCAACCTAGATAAGGACGCTGGTTGAACAACACCACACCAGACACAGGACATTCATCTCGCCGTCAGAGAGGGTGTCATTTGAACATGAATCCAGGGCCATAGTTTACCAAGCTTGAGACTAGACGAATGACCATAGATAGCATCGAGATACGCCAATACCTTAGTGGGAAGACAGTTTATGAACAGGTGCACGGCGTCAGGATTTATATATATATATATATATATATATATATATATATATATATATATATATATATATATATATATATATATATATATATTGCCATCTTTCCATCTTTCTAGACGATAGTGTTATATTGCGCTATGAGAAGACATGTGACTCACAGATTTCGAGTATATGTATATATATATATATATATCCTAGGTATGTATTTTTTACTGATGACCTGTTGTGCCTCTTTTTTCCTTTCCCGACACCCTCAGTCCAAGGCGACTATCACTCTTTGCAGTGTTGTTCTGTGAGCCACAATGTGACCCATTCTTCCTCCGAGCCTGTCTTGTCAATAGCACAAACTTTTATAATAGCGACTTTCGCTATTCCCCAAGGTCTCACGAAGAAGGTGATTTCTGTCCATTGCGACTATGAGGTAAATTTTATGCCTGTAACATCGTATGCTTTTCATATACAGTAGAGCCTCGCTTAACGAGCACCTCTCATAACGAGTAATTCGCATAACGAGCAAAAGAAGTTGTAAACGAATTACTTGCTTAACGAGCGACGTTTCGCATAACTAGTAGCGAGGAGAATGGAAGTCCCGGATTGTGCGCATGTTACATCAATCTGTGTTTATCACTCTTTTCAGTAACAATATAGTGTCGCTTGTGATTACACATTTTCTCAAATTTGTGTTATATTGTGATATATGTACATGAATCCTCCAGGCCTACAAGATGACCTCTCTGAAATATATAAGTTCATCAAGATCCAGTTTCTGCTTCCCAACATCACTCCGTTACTCCAGCCCATGGACCAGCACGTTATTTCTAACGTTAAGAAGCTCTACACTAAAGCACTCTTCGAGCATTATTTTCAGGTGACTAAAGGGACCAACCTCACTCTCAAAGAGTTTTGGAAAAATCACTTCCACATTATTGCCTGCCTCAAGATGATCGACAAGGCGGGAGAAGGGTTTACTAAGAGAACCCTAACTTCTTCTCGGAAGAAGCTTTGGCCGGAGAGCGTTGTCGATTTGTGACTTTGAGAGGTTCCAGACAGTACCTGTGGAACCTGTAGTCAACGAGACTGTGTCTTTGGCCACTATCATGGTATTGGAGGTGGATAACAGTGATATCGAAGAGTTTATGGAAGAACACAGCCAAGAGCTGACCACCCAGGAGCTTATGGAGTTGCATTGTGTTTCACAGGAAGAATTTTTGGAGGAAAGTTTCTCAGAGGAGGAGGTAACAGAGAAATGCTGAAAGCATAGGAAACTGTTGCATCTTACAATGAGAAGCATCACGCTAATAAGGAAGTGGCTATGCGCGCTACAAATTTATTAAATGATAATGCTATGTCGCATTTTCGCCAAATTTTGAAGCGTCGGCAAAAACAAATGTCTCTGGACATCTTTCTAGTAAAAAATAGTAATAATTTTTTCGACTTTTTTTTTTAAAAATGCAAATCGAATTCGCATGCCATCTGGGCTCGTTCCTCGTTTGGAGAAAAGGTGAAGATGATTTACTCTCCTTAACAATGTGTATATAATTTTCTTTAAACAAACGTTATACATAGCATTCTGTGAGTATTTTTTTTCCGACATGGAACACATTATCGTATTGTACATTAATTTATATGAGAAAAATTTTTTCGCATAAAGAGTGTTTCGCTTAACGAGTTTGATTCTGAAACGAAATGTGCTCTTTAAGCGAGGTTCCACTGTACCGAGAAAGCATATGCCGCACCCACACGATAGGTGAGTCCAATACACATTCCAAATTATTCGCATGTTTACTTCCATTCAACTCCTTTGTACATGTAGTCTGTGTATCAATGTGATCTGTCTTTCTCCCTGTTTTCCTTTACCATTGCTGTCTGTTAGCCCACGATGCAAGTAATTAATGGTGATTTAAACAGATTGTTAATTTCCTTGTTGCTTCTCGCTCAATATTGGCCCAAATGTCATTACCAGGGTCGTTGTCCGGTTAAATTGACTTGTTCTGGATGTTTATATATCTGTTTGTGACAAAATGAGGTTTTACAATTGTGAGGGTGCTGACTCCACGCTTCAACCCTCACCAGGAGGACTGGTAAGTCTCTCTGACTCTTCTCTACCCTATCACCCGTCTGGCTTAGGAGGTTCTGCTGGTAGCTGCGCTACAGCCGGCATAGTTCCTAGGGCAGCGCTATTTGGCTAAATTTACGCAGGGACCAACATTTTGAAAATAGAGATTGTCAAGGGCCAGAGCCCGAGTCTCAGTAGAAAAAGAAGATAATAAAGAAGAAGAAGAAGAAGAAAAAGAAGAAGATGATGAAGAAGAAAAAGCAGCAACAGCAGAAGAAGAAAAGAAGAAGGAGAAGAAAAAGAAGTAGAAGAAGAAGAAGAAGAAAAAGAAGAAAAGAAGAAGCATAAGAAGAAGTAGAAGAATAAGAAAAAGAAGAAGTAGAAGAAGAAAAAGAAAAAGAAGAAAAGAAGAAGCATAAGAAGAAGTAGAAGAATAAGAAGAAGTAGAAAAAGAAGATAATAAAGAAGAAGAAGAAGAAGAAAAAGAAGAAGATGATGAAGAAGAAAAAGCAGCAACAGCAGCAACAGCAGAAGAAGAAAAGAAGAAGGAGAAGAAAAAGAAGTAGAAGAAGAAGAAGAAGAAAAAGAAGAAAAGAAGAAGCATAAGAAGAAGTAGAAGAATAAGAAAAAGAAGAAGTAGAAGAAGAAAAAGAAAAAGAAGAAAAGAAGAAGCATAAGAAGAAGTAGAAGAATAAGAAGAAGTAGAAGTAGAAGAATAAGAAGAATAAGAATAAGAAGAAAAAGAAAGAAGAAGAAGAAGAAAGAAGAAGAAGAAGAAGAATAAGAATAAGAAGAAGAAGAAGAAGAAGAAGAAGAAGAAGAAGAAGAAGAAGAAGAAGAAGAAGAAGAAGAAGAAGAAGAAGAAGAAGAAGAAGAAGAAGAAGAAGAAGAAGAAGAAGAAGAAGAAGAAGAAGAAGAAGAGCAAAGATTATGAGAAGAAGGGAGAAAACATTTTTCTTTAAAAAAAATCACCCGTGCACAAATAACACCTAGCCTTTGTGTATGATACACTTCCATGAAGACATTTCAAGTTTAATAGACCATCAACAAAAGCGTAAGAAAGTCCGCATTAATCCTGGCTAAAAAGACACTTGTGCGCCTTTGGTTTCCCAGTCACGTAACGCCAACGGCGCCAGTTTGCCACTGCCCTCTTTCGAAAACAAAATAAAAACGAAATTAATTCCTAACCGCGCTCCATTCATACAAAATAATTCAACAGTTGTAAAATGTGGCTACGATACGTGCACTAAAGCCAACATTGTTTA